AAACATACAGTAGTGGCTCAACTCCCATCTTTTTAATCTCAAAATGGTTAGTGTTTCTCACACCTTTATGCACACCAACTATGAATTAGTATCGGCATCTGCGGAAGCCACTTAGGATTTCTGGGAATTAGTTCCCTCTGGGGCCAAGGTCTCTTGTGACCTGGGAGCTGTCACACACGCCTGGCAGAGGAGAGGTGAGTGGAGTCTTCCTCAGTAGACAGAAGATGATTGCAATTTATTGGATGCCACGTTTGGAGATTGATGGGAGCACAAAGTCACTGCGTGAAGTGAGACCCTTCCAGGAAATGGGCAGAGAACAGCCATGGGGGAAGGGACCATCACTTATTCTGGTTCTTTTTTGAGTCAAGGCCTGTGCTAGTTGCTTACCACTTGATAGCAACTGGGTTAGTTACATTATGATTCCCATATAGAAATTAAGAAAGTGAGATAATGAAAGGCAAGTAGTTCACCTAAGTCATACAGGTAGTGACCAAATTAAGAAGGGAATTCTTTTCTTCTTTCCTGCACTATATACGTCCTTGTTTTTGCAGTCCAAAACATGCCCAAATTACTAGCCCCATAGTTAAATTCCTTATGGATTAAATATTTGTGAACTAAGGAATCTAAAAGCTAAATTAAAACCATTCTTAGCCCACAGGCCCTAAAAAACAAAGAGTATGCAGATTTGGCCCCTGGGATGTACTTTACCAGACTCCTGTGCCAGGGCTTCCAATTGAACTCCTGGTGTGGTTAACAGGCTTCTTTCCCCTGGTAGGTCATGAATGCTTTTCTTTCGTCTCATCAGCAGTGTGAGCCTGATGACAATTCTCTCTGCTTTTCAGCCATTTTCAGCCTTTTAGCCTCTGCCCCAAGCACTTTCAAAATTCTGCAATTACACCTTGATGGGAAAACTGGCATTGTGTTTGAGGACTTTCAAGTCTCCACTATCTTCATTCTAGCTTCATCAGAAAGCCAAGAGCTCTGTTAGTTTCTGTTCACCAGCACCAGCCCTGATTCTTGTCCTGCATTCAAAACAGGCACCCGCGACCAGCAAAACCACTTTTTGGTAGCAAACATCAGTTCACTTTTCTGAAGTCTCCCTTCTCTAGAATCTTAGCCCCCAATTTAGTCCTCATTGTTTCAGTAGCTGTCTGCTTTTCAAAAAGTAGGCAATTTTACACTTTTAACTTTTTTTCATGTTTGTTTATTTTGAGAGAGCTCATGCAGAAGTGAACAGGGGAGGGGCAGAGAGAGAGGGAGCTCTAGAGAGAATCCCAAGCAGGCACATGCTGTCAGTGCAAAGCAAGCCTGACTCCGGGCTTGATCTCACACTGAGATCGTGACCTGAGCCAAAGTCAAGAGTCAGATGCTTAACTGATGCTTAAACAACTGAGCCACCCAGTTACCCCTTTACATTTTTACCTGGCTTTTCTCATTGCTCTCAGCAGGATTATAGGTCTGCTGCAATGTTACCTGGAAAGCAGAAGTCTTGCTTTTTTATTTTATTTTTTAATGTTTTTATTTATTTTTGAGACAGAGAGAGACAGAGCATGAGCAGGGGAGAGGCAAAGAGAGAGGGAGACACAGAATCTGAAGCAGGCTCCAGGCTCTGAGCTGTCAGCACAGAGTCCGACACGGGGCTCGAACTCACAGACCGCAAGATCATGACCTGAGCTGAAGTCGGACGCTTAATGGACTGAGCCATGCAGGTGCCCCAAGTCTTGCTTTTCAAATGATTTTAAAATAGTACCTTAAAGCTAAATATGTTCAAATTCATTCACAATGCTGTATTTTTTCCAAACTGAAAAAATCTTCCGGAATTACGATTTTTAAAATTTAAAGGCAAAAAAGACCATTTAGAGTGGTGCAGGCTGAGATGAATAAACTTCCTTTATCTTGCAATGTTTTTTAAGTTTACTTATTTTTTTAGTAATCTCTATATCCAACGTAAGGCTCAAACTGACAACCCCGAGATCAAGAGACACATGCTCTTCCAAATGTGCCTGCCAGATGCCCCCACCTTGCAATATTTTAATAACATTAAAATTCTGACTAGATGATATATTCAACATGATTGATCAAAAAAAGTTATTCTTCCCCCCTCCCCCCTTTCCCCCAGCCACCCAGTTTCTCTTCCTGCTGGCAACATTTACTGCGTCTCTTTCTAGACATTGTATGCAAATATATGTATATATGTTTTCACATCAGTAAAGTGATTCTGTTGTTGCTGTTGATTGCTATATAGTATTTCATCGTACCATCATTTATTTAGTATCTATTGATGTGACATTAAGTCTATTTCTAAGCTTATTATTATAACAATGCCATACAAAAATGTTTTATGCAGGTCGTTCTACATACATGTGAAGATAGTTTTAGGAAATTCCTAGAGGTTGAATTGCTAAGTTCAGAATTGGGATTTTAAATTTTCTATTGATACCAAGCAACAGGATAAGAGTGCCTACTTTCCCACACTCTTGACAAGATTAAAAAACACACAAGGGCGCCTGGGTGGCTCAGCCCATTAAGCGTCTGACTTCGGCTCAGGTCATGATCTCACAGTCCGTGAGTTTGAGCCCCATGTCAGGCTCTGTGCTGACAGCTCAGAGCCTGGAGCCTGCTTCAGATTCTGTGTCTCCCTCTCTCTCTGCCCCTCCCCTGTTCATGCTCTGTCTCTCTCTGTCTCAAAAATAAGTAAAAACATTTTTAAAAATTAATAAAAAAAATAAAAAATAAAAAAAACCCAAAATACACATACAGACACAAATACAAAACAGGAAACACCTTTATCTTAATTAATTTGAAGGGTAGAAAAATAAAAATGTATGCACATTAGTGTAAGTGATATTATGAATTTCACATATTTAAGAGTCATTTGTATTTCCTTTCTTGGGAAGGATATTTCTTGGGATTATTTCTCATTTTCCCTCTGAATTATTAGTCACTTTCATAATGTATTGGCAGACACTTCATATAAAGGAAATGACCTCTTTGTGATGAATTGTATCTATTTCTTCCCCAGTTTGCCATGTTTTCCAGTTTTCATTATGGTAATAGTTTTAGTTATGCAGAACTTTTAATTTTTATGTAGTTAATTTTTATTTTTTTAATTGTGGTAAAATACATGTAATAGTCCATTTTTAATTATTTTATTTTCAGATTCTCCACTTCTGCGGTCCTAGGTGCTCTCTGAGAAGTTAATAACTCTCACATCCCTTCCACAAAAAGGAGAGAAGTAGCGATACACTCTAATGACTGACATAACATTTAGTAGTTTCTAACAAAAAGACATATAAGGTCAGATTATCCGAAAAACTAACAGAGAAATTAAAACTTATCTTAAGGTCAGGAAGACTTCTTCACTGACAATTAAGTGGTTAAATGTATAAATCCTAAAGATGTCACACTATTTCCCTTTTTGGTCATGGACTATTCCAGGAAAATTTAATTATATAATTTTTAAGGAGTTCCAAGAGTATTCAACCTAAAATGTAAAGTGAAATTGCTCTTAGAAAAATACTGGTTTGATGAAAATAGATTTTAGCATATTTTAGAGAAATCTGGTTAGCTTCTGACTAGACTTCATTTCAGCACGATCATTACTCAGAGGGCAATCATTCTTTTGTTGAGAAAGGGCAAACTAAATTTCAAATTAGATTCAGAAGTCTACCCATAATTACCCAATCAATACTGAAGTAGATGCCACCAAATATGCAAAGATTAACAGAATTTCAGTTACAAAATTTGGAGGGAAAAATAATAAGGGTATAAAAATACTGACAAATTTAAGCTAGAATTAGCTCCAGGACATTTTATTATACTTTTATTTTAAAAGGATGAATAACTAGAGATCAGCAGAAATGCTGTTAAAACTGTTATTTGCTTAAAGCTGTTCATATTAATGAACAAGAGATTACATCTCTAAGTTAAATTTCACAAAATGAAATCACTGCCTTCTGATTTAACTTTCAGGGTAAGATGGCAAAACTTAAGCATCAGACTTTTTCTGTCCATAAACACAAATAAAAGTCAGCATCAATATAAATGATAATATAAGGAAATAAACACATGGTTATGTCTCAAGTCCCATAATATGAGATGATATTAATTCCCATTTATTCCCCTAGAATACCAGAATAATAGAAATGTGAATTCCCCAAATTTCAGGCAATTTAGTAACTGATTTTTATTTTGACACCAGATACTGTGGTGTGAAAAGCCTAAACCCAAATGTTTTCCATGTCATTAAGCAGAGAAAGGAGGAGGGGGAATCCTCTGCCAAACCTCACCTGCTACTCCATCCTAGACCTTGTTTCTAATTATTCACTCAGTTCTAGCGTTTCCAAATTGTCAATCCACCCCACTGAGGCTCACCCCAACTCTTAACTCCTTTTGCAACAAGAGTCTAGTTTCCTTTGTCAACTAATTCCTAATTTTCCAAGAAACTCTGATTTTTCTGATTTCACATTGATCATAAACCATTTTAAATGGAAGAAAATGCTATAATGCTTAAAATAATTAAAGTGGAGATGAAAACTAGATTACTTTAGTGTTATGGAAGATGCATGTCATGTGCTCTGCAAATATATGGGAAAGTTGTAAGAAAACTCCTAACTACCTGGTATAGTATAATCTTACTTTGATTACTAGTTAGGACAAAAAGGGAAGGAGGCAAAGGCCATAAAACATGCATTTTTTGGAAAGAGAATGGCACTTGAAAATTTCTTGGGAGTTCACCAAGGCATTCTTATATCCATAAGGATTGTCCAACAGTATATCACAGTTATTAAAAAAAGAAAGGATTGGGACTCCTGCTTACCACTGAGTTTGGCAGAAACACATTTATATATTTCTCTCTTGTAATCACCAGTCCTTTAATTAAGGACAATGAGTGTGACCACAGAGCAAAATTAACGAAAAAATTTATAAAGATTCTATGATAGAAGAGAGCTTCACAATCCAGCTTTACTAGATTATGAAACCCTCCCTTTACCCACACATTACTTCGTATACCTCTGAAACATCTGAAAAATACTTTTCTGTGACTTACTAGGCTGTAGGGAATGAGCACTTTTAGATACATTACAATTATCTCTAGAAGAATTTGGCACCTTTCTCCCATTAACATTAACTGAATGTTTCAACTGGATCTTAAAAGATGGCTGCCAGTTTTCATTTTTTGAGCCTCTCCGAGATTCTGAATGCTCTATATCAGTCTGTCTTTTGAAGTTCCTGTCTTTGGAATTCTTCCTCTGTCCATTTAGCAACTTGTCTGGTGGTGAAGATGTAGGACGTAACTGATACTCATCTGGGGATCCTTTTTGCCGGTTTGGCTTCATTTGTTCTTTATCTACTTGTTTCTGAAGCTGTAATGCTAACAACCTGTCCTGTTCTTCCTGTTTATGTCTCTCAAAAAGTAAGCGTTCCAAATCTATCAGTTTTTGGGTAAAGTTGATTTCTGTTTCCTCTTGGTCTGAGGAAGCTCTGGGGAACATTTTCCTTCTTTTTGCAGAAATGCAGGGATCCCTGACTGCTTCGAATGAAGATTCCTGGTTTTTTCTTTTGGAAATATCTTTACTGGTCAGGAGGCAAGAGTCTTCATTTTCTGTCTCAACTGTGTTACTTTCAATTATCTGTGTCATACCTGATATAGTGCATGCGCTCTCTGTTTCTCCAGAGCATGGAACTCTGGCTTCAGGTCCCTCATGATTCAGAACACATAACTCTTTATCATGATTGCTTGGTCTCATTTTGACTTCTGCTTCGAGGCACCACTCTCTACCACTGGCATATAACTGAGGCATAGGTGACTCTACTGAAGACTTTGCACCTTGTTCTTGAACGTCCATGCCTATTTGCGGAGAAAGTGTTGGCATATCTTCTTCAATTTCTGTATCTTGCCTTGTTGGGCTATTTACAATACTACCGTCAGTTTCCTGTAGAAAACAGAAAAACACTGAGTGAACCAGGGGAAAACATCTAGTCATAATATAGAAGTCTAATTATACTGATACTCTAGCTTAATTGTAACTATAAGATAGTTAGCATTAAGGGTGCCTGGGTGGCTCAGTCAGTTGATTGTTCAATTCTTGATTTCAGCTCAAGTCATGATCCCAGGGTTGTGGAATCAAGCCCCGTGTCAGGATCTCTGAGCGTGGAGCCTGCTTAAGATTCCCTTTCTTGGGGCATCTGCGTGGCTCAGTCGGTTAAGCATCTGACTGTTTCCACTCAGGTCATGACCTTGTGGTTCGTGGGTTCAAGCCCACATCAGGCTCCGTGTTGATGGTGCAGAGTCTGCTTGGGATTCTCTCTCCCTCTCTCTGCCCCTCCCCTGCTCACTCACTCTCTCAAAATAAACAAACTTAAAAAAAAGAAAAAGATTCTCTCCTTCTCTCTGCCCTTCTCCTCTGCTTGTACTCTCTTTTAAAAAAAAATTTTTTTTTAACGTTTATTTATTTTTGAGACAGAGCATGAACGGGCGAGGGGCAGACACAGAATCAGAAGCAGGCTCCAGGCTCTGAGCCATCAGCCCAGAGCCTGACGCGGGGCTCGAACTCACGGACCGTGAGATCGTGACCTGAGCTGAAGTCGGACGCTTAACTGACTGAGCCACCCAGGCACCCCATGCTTGTACTCTCTCTTAAAAAGAAAAAAAAAACACAAAAAACAAAAAAAACACATAGCGTTACTACTAATGATATACATTAATTGTTAATAGTATTTTTATTCTGGGGGTGCCTGAGTGGCTCAGTCAGTTAAGCGTCCGACTCTTGACTCTGGTTCAGGTCTTGATCTCACAGTTTCTGAGACTGAGCCCTGCATGAGGCTCTGCACTGACAGCACAGGGCCCACCTGGCATTCTCTCTCTCCCTATCTGCCTCTCCCCTGCTTGTGTGCATGAGTTCCCTCTCTCAAAATAAATAAAAACTTCAAAAAAATTTTTGAAATAGTATTTTCATTCTGTGTGCCAGTTTAGATTAAGGCATTCCCTCATTTTCACTCCCATGAATACCTACAGATTAAAATGTACAAACTGGATTCTATATATGGCCAATAAACTGGCACTAGGACCTGACCTCTCTTTCATCTTACAAACTTCCTCTAGCCCAGAGGTTTTTAGCCCCTTTTTGTGCTAGGGACTCTCTACCTTTCAGCATTTTGGTAAAGTTTACAGATGTCTACTGAATATTTTTCAATATAAAAATAAACACCTAGGATTACAAAGGGAACAACCTGTATTGCAACACAATTATTAAAAATGTTTTACTTTCTGATGTAATAATGTGTACCCATCAATACACTAAATATTAAGACCTAGTGGCAAGTCTAATAACTTGTAATATTGAAGTAGGGATGAATAACAATATTTCAAGAAACCTGCTATAAATGTAAAGTGATAAAAACCTGTGCTTTCCACTGATGATCAAAGGTACAGCTTTTGCTAATAGTATTATGGTTTCCAGTCTACATTCATAATTAAAGGAATGACAGGTTAGGTGAAAATAAAGATAAACCTTTTCTTCCATTGAGGTTCGTATGTACTCCCCGGATTCTAACTGTAGACCTTATCAGGTTAAGAAACTTTGTTTTTGCCAGTATATTTCTTCTCACCTACAGGTCTGAGGTAAGTAAAGACCTAGGATTAGTTTTGACCTTAAATTTTTTACCTACTCTGCTTTGCATTCCTTATAGCATTTCTTATGAACCAATGTGGTTGGACTGGACAAATTCCAGGTTGCTTACCTAGTTTTGCTGTGGGTATCAACAGGAAAAATATCCCACCCTACAGTGCTTATTCCATCCTCAGTTCCATTTTGAGCCAGACCATGTGGACCTGAATCCTCCCTCTATCATCTCTACTTAAGGGACTTGGTACAAGTCTCATATCTCTGTGTGCCTTGGTTTTATTAACCATAATATGGAACAAGAATGAATACCTACCTTACAGAGCTGGTGCTTGTGATGGAAACTGAAGAAAATAATACATACATTATCTGGCACATGGTAAATGCCAATTAAATGATAGGTGAGTTTAAAAAATTTTAAGAACCTCTCAATAAAGTGTTAACAAAACTTCTCTGTAGGAAATCAACCTTGGTGTCAGCTCACTTTTTTTTTTCCTGGTTCTATTTTCCTAGAAACCTGATAAAAGTGAAATGTCACCTGTGTGCATAGGCTACAGAGCTTATGGTAAAAATGAACTTACTTGTGAACTGCATCTATACTGGAAGAACTGTGAATGATCTATAAGCACTTAGCGGGAAGCCAAATCTTAGGGCTTCTGTAAATGACTTACAACTCTTTTGGTGTATTGTTCCAGGACCCCTGGAAGCTACACCCATGGGCTGTTACAACAAATAATGGACTTTTATGGGGCACGGGGCTTCTAAGCCGGGGTGGTTTCCAAACTCATTTGCATTGTCTCATTTGTAGGCTGTCCCTTAGGAGCTCTGCAGTGAAGGCTTTTGCTGCACAGATATGGCTGATGCTGCCCTGCCAGCATGCTTTGTTTCCCATCCTGTAATCTTCACTGAAAGTGAAGTTAGTACCAGGCACAGGCTGTTTAATTTTGTGAGTTTGATTGTCTAAGTCAGGGATCCATAAACCATGGCCCATGGACCAAATTCAGCTGCTGCTTATTTTTATGAATAGTTTTTGTTGATCAAAGAAAAGTCCAGTTGTTTATGTATTGTCTATGGATGTTTTCACACGAAACAGCACAGTTGAATAGTTGTGAAAAAGACCATACAGGCCACAAAATATTTACTATCTTGCCCTTTAGAGAAGTTTGCAGACTCCTAGTGTAGGTAAGCCTAAGATGACTAAGAAAGGGGGTTCCATATACAACAGTGATTTTTAAAAAAAAATGAGGGAACTACAAGTATTAGCAATCTATAGCGTTAGTAAACTTGCCAAACTAAGAACATCTTTAGTACCGACATACCTTGGACATGAAGTTTTTCTTGCTTTCTTGCACAACTTCATACTGCGATGCTGATCCAAATTGAGATTTAGGTGACAAATACCTTAACACAAAAAAAAAAAAAAAAAAAAAAAAAAAAAAAAAAAAAAAAAAAGCTTTACCAAAGTTTGAATGCTTTGACAGACAAGTGGTATGTAACCAATATAATACATCACATTAGCTATTTATGTGAAGGTGAAGGTTGTCTGTTTGCTGCTTGGCTGATTTATCAGAAAGAGTATAGTCCATCTCCCTGTCTCAGGTATTTTGGCCTAATTCCAGAGCAAAACTTAAAAGGCCGAATATTGATATTTTAGTGAAAAACAGAAAAGGAAGTAAAATCTAAACATTTCTTAATTCTCAAAAGAAATTCAAAAGGTACACAGCATCAAAACAACTCAAGACTATATAGTCTTCCCAAAAGTAATGGAAATTAAATTTTAAATCAGGAGAAAGGATATGTTAGTTTCTTTTTAATGCCAGAAATTATGGCTGTTTACTACATTAAAAAGCAGTTTTTTAAATGTTTACTTCTCTTAGAGAGAGACAGAATATGAGCAGGGGAGGGGCAGAGAGAGAGGGAAGACATAGAAACTGAAGCAGACTCCGAAGCTGAGATGTCAGCACAGAGCTTGACACGGGGCTCGAACTTGTGAACCATGAGATCATGACCTGAGCTGAAGCCAGACATTTAACCGACTGAGCCACCCAGGTGCCCCTGTTTACTACATTTTGAATTGTTACTATTGAGAAAGTATCCATGATTAGATTCTTTACTATTCTGGCATAGAGATTTTGTTAGATACACATTTTATATAAACTATCTGCCTACAAAAATACACATCTATCAATTTATCAGTATAAGAGCATTTCTCTAAATTTCTAAGCATCTTTAATAGGCTGTTTGTCACTGAAAACATGAAGTTTCTAATATGATGAAAAATGATGTAAAAGAAATGGGAATAAAAGGACAGGTTATGAGATGGTTAAGTATATTTTTAAAACTGGAAAAAATCCAAATACATACACAACTATGCTTAAAATCGCCTAAAATGCTGGCTGTCTTCAAGCAACGGTAGCATCGGGTGATTTTCAAAGAGTAGCTAGCTATTGTTTTTACAGTTAAAGAAAACAATGGAAAAACATCTGATTGCAAATAATATGTAAGTTCCATTGTGTCTAAAACACCATAAATTGTGTGTGAAACAATAAAATCTAGTCCCAGATCTCATATAAAGAACAAATAACATCCCTTCTAAACCACGTATTTAGTTGAATCATTTCTAAACACTTACTCTGCAAACTTATAAGTACAAGAACTACCTTTTCAACTGATAAGAGAAAACAGGAGCCCAGTTTAGTCTCATTTAAATTTTTTTTTTTTTTTTCATAGCTGAAGAAACTCTTCTGCCAATGCTGGATATTAGTTACCAAGATAGAATTATTATAACAGTTTTTTTGAAATCCACATGTAGAGAACAAAATGTGACCAGATACTTATTCAACATCATCAGGAAAGATTTATGAGCTTGTCCTGAATATTCCTTTTTTTTTTTTTTTAATGTTTTTATTTTTGAGAAAGAGAGAGACAGAGCATGAGCAGGGGAGGGGCAGAGCAAGAGGGAGACACAGAATCTGAAGCAGGCTCCAGGCTCTGAGCTGTCAGCACAGAGCCCAACGCGGGGCTCGAACTCACAGACTGTGAGATCATGACCTGAGCTGAAGTCAGATGCTCAACCGACTGAGCCACCCAGGCACCCCAGTGAGTATTCTTTATAATGACCAGGTAATGTATGAATATGTGCTCATTGTAAAAAAGTAAACAGAGGGGCACCTGGGCGGCTCAGCCAGTTGAACACCCGACTTCAGCTCAGGTCATGATCTCACAGTTCATGAGTTCAAGCCCCACATCGGGCTTGCTGCTCTTAGTGCAGAGCCTGTTTCAGATCCTCTGTATCCGCCCTGCTGCTCCTCCACTCACTCTCTCTCTCTCAAAAATAAAAAATAAACATTAAAAAAAAAAAAAGTAAATAGAAATGTTAGACATATACCCTTTTCCATTCCTCTTTGTTTCCTCACATGTAACCAATTTTTTAAAAAAGCATGATTTCGATAGTGCTATCTTTTTTAAAACAATCATATCCTTCTGATTTCCTTTTTTCATTTATGTCTTAAAGATCTAAGAGAG